CAGCAGAGTGCAGAGGGAAGGGAAACACTTCTCAGGCAAGCTGGGCAACCTGCTCCCTCTGGCACCTCTTCAGCTGTCCCCCACTGCCTCTCCAGGTGCCGACCATCGTGAGATCCATGCACCAGTGCCTCACCTCCCACATGGCTCCAGGCATCAGGATGCACAATAACATCTGCAGGCTCGCTGAGGCACACCCACGGGATGTGGTGATGACTCTCCTGCGCTGTGCCCCAGAGTGTGACAGGTACAGGGCCCAGCTGCCTTGATGGCTCAGGGATCACCAACCCTTAGAACCCATCACCCTGGAGAGCCTGTCCCATGTGGTCTGCCAGACAAATGGAGAGTTCCAGGACACTTGGGCCCCTCCATTTCCCAGCCCTGGTCTGTCAGCCCCCGATCCTGCTGCCACATGCCCTCCCTGCCCCTCAAGGCACCGTGGCTCTGTCACATGGGTCCCCACAGCTGCCCAGGCCACAGTGCTGGGGCAGACACCCTCTGACCCAGAGCTCTGGCTCCACAGAGCTGCAGCAATGATGTGGAGAAGCATCGGCTCCTCGGGAACAGCAGTGGAGAAGGTGCTGCCAGTACTGCTCCGAGTGATGAAGGATTGGCCAGCGCACGAAATGTCCACCTCCGATGGCGACAACAGGGATGTGTTTGCCCTGGCTGTGAGTTTCTAGAAGTGGCCTTTGCTATTCCCTAAGTCACCTCCCACACCACTGCATCTCCCTGCCTCAGGCCTTGGGCTGCAAATGTGGCTGAGGGGCAGGTTCAGGGCCACCAGGCCGGCTGCTCCCCCTGCCTCTCCCCTGGCCTCTCCCTCCCACGCTCGGGCCCTGACACATGGACGTCTCACACTGAGCGCTGTCTCTGTGTGCTTTGATTGCAGGCAACCCTGGCACTGAGGCTGATCCTCCAGGAGCCCAAGTGCCAGGATGCAGTGACGAATTCTGTCCCCCGCCTGCTCATGGCTCTCTTATTCCAAGTGTCCATGAGCACAGAGCAGGTGCCAGAAGAGGTGAACACCTTCTGGAGGGGATGCCTGGAGCAACACCACCTTCCCAGCCAGCCCAACAGGTGCTCCATCCCAGTCCTCTCTTCCTGCCATGCCCTCGGGGCTGGGGCCAGGGCTCCCAGCATGACCTGACCTTTGCTCTGCACACAGGTTTCTGGTACAGACCATCAAGGCCCTGCTCTGCCATCTGCGGTGGGAGGATATTTTGATGGCAAGGAAGCGCAGGCGTGCCTGGGACCAACTCGTGAATTCCGACCCCCACCACTATGCAGTGGGTCGGCATGTCAGGTGAGACACCCTTGTCCCCACTGCCCCCGTAATCTCTACCCTGGGCACGGGGCACCCCACACAGCCCCCATGGGCGTAGGTCAGAGGGCCTTGGCCCCAAGGGTTGGCCGAGCAGATTGGAAAAGGCTGTGAGAGGCGGGTGCACAGGAGGAGCCACCTGCCAAAGTGCCCACGTCCTGTCCTGGGCTGCTGGGGAAAGACCAGGCCTTCATGAGTCAATGCTGGGAGAGCTTTGCCCACCCTGCTCAGGCTCCATGGTTTCCCCCCTGACAGGGAGATGCGCCGCCAATTGACCCCCTCCCATTCTCCACTGGCAATCCACCTGCTGGGGCTGCTCAGCACTGCGGACCCCCGTTGGGAGCTGCCTGCCCTGGAGTTCCTTGTGGAGGTGAGCCTGATGGCGAGCGCTGCCTGGCCCGGCTGCCTCCCCCTCTCTGCCCTCTGGCAACCGCAGCTGCCCGGGACGGTGCCTGTGCCCTGTGCTGCTGCCTGGGCCCAGCCCTGGGTGGCTCCGGGCTCCTGCTGCCCGGGCACCCCGTCACTGCTCTCTGCCTTCCAGGTCCTGGACTATCTGGACGGGAGTAAATGTCACAGAAGTCTCGAGCAGATCCTGTCAAGGCACCAGCAGAGCCAGTGCCCAGAGAGACGTCGCCTGGCTCTCAGAGGCCGCATGGTGCTCTGGATGGATCTGTCAATGGTGAGAAGGGGATACCCGGCTGAAGCCACACGGGCAGCCTGGGGTTCGGGAACACAATCTCCTGTGCTTTGGCTGGGCTTCAGGAGCTATGGATGCTCCTCCCACCTCTACTGCCTCCTTCTTCCACTGCCCGGGCCCTGTGGGACAGGCCTTTGGCCTCTGGGTCCTGGGGCAGCAGCGTGGGGTTGCACCACCAGAGAGCTGTTGGTGGGGCAGCTGTTCAGGGTTTCACAGCACAGCACTGTGTTCCACACAGGCCAAAATCATCTGCAGCCTGTCTCAACACCTCCTGGAGCTGCTGCCTGATGCAGATGGAGGTGTGGTCATGATGACCCTCTCTGTGTTTGTGAATGTGCTCCGGAAAGAAGACATTCGGGCATTCATCTCCACTGCCCCAAGACTGGCTGAGGCGCTCCAGCCACTTTTTGACAACGTAAGGTTCTGTGCCCCCCAGCCACAGGCACTGGCTGCTGCCAGGAAACTGCCCTGTGGATGTTCAGGCCTGTGCCTGTACCTGGTGGGCCTGGAGCAGCCAGTGCTGAGGTCTTTTTCTCCTCTTTTTCTCCTCTGCACCCATGTGCAGCTGTCCTTCTTTCGCTTCTTCCAAACGGTGATGGAGGTACTGGTGGAAGGGGGAACAAAGCCCTTGGAGATGCAGATGCACCAGATCCTCGTGCTGTGGTTCTTCCTGGAGTATGATGAGCACCAGTGCGTTGCAGAGGTGAGCACTTGTGGGCTCTGGGGTCCCCGTGGCAGGGGCTG